ACTTGATACATTAAAAAATGAGTCCAATTCAAAGAATAATGTTTTAGGGAGAACGAGTGATATTTAGTTCCGCTTTGTTTTCCAATACGATTTGTCGTCTTTTCCCTCGTGTGTTGTTCAAAAATAGTTTGTTTACAGATATTTCGGTATCAAGCAACTTTTTCTATATTGGCAGATAGATTAGATAGTTGTTAGCAATTACCATAAGTAAAAAACTCAACTTACTTCAAGCAACTTGAGTATACAATATGCATCTTCCAATATGTTACAATAATTATCATCGACAGGTATCCTGCATCTGTCTAGCAATCCAAATCTATATACGCCAGATCCTCTCCAATCCATCGCATAAAAGTTCAGCTCTAAGCCTAAAATAAAAAACCATTAGTAACGATATCATAAAATTTTTATTTCTTGGATTAAACCTACCAAACTGAAGCCAGCCATAGACTATAACTTCTAACCTTTCATCATCGGACACATGGTCACACTCTTTTAATAGGCGATTAATACTATCGCGCATTATTACCATTAATTTCAATTTATCTAGAAATCGTTTCTTGCGACAAGCTGTAGGAACTCCAAACGGTCCTAATCCACCTGCAACTTCTCCGAAGAGTGCCTCAAATTTATTTGGTGTTTTTAATAACGTTACTTTCATGTCAACCTTCCTTCCCATTCGTGATTTTTTATAGGGATTCGACTTTTCATTGCGTGCATCACTATTTGAAAGAGAATGGATTTCTCCCCTATGTACGGAAAATTTGTTATTTTCAAATCGAAGCATTCAATGCCTTTGTAAAAAGAAAATTAACTTACCAGGCATGCTTCATGCGATTTGATGTAAATATTCCGTTAAACAATGGAAATGATGATGTCATTTTTAATTGCTCTTCGGTCAGCATTCCTTGGAAAGAATGCATGTTAATCTTTCTGTACAATAATATAAAGTTAAAATATAAGTACCAGATAATCAAGAACACATCCACTGAGTTGATACATACAAAAATTGTACATTTGTATCGAAATATTCATTTTCATCACTATTGTCGAGTTTTTCACAATGACTGTCAAAGTAATTCTGAATATTTATTGGGGCAGGTTCACATTCCCACTTAACATGATTAGCAAAATCTTGAGATAATTGTTGTAAGTCGTTTTCACTAATTTCTTTACATTCATATAGACTTTCTCTAGTTAGATCAAGCACTCCCCAATATGCAGGGCTATGATAAACGAAATGGATTAATGATCAGACCATGATAGTAAAAAAAAAACCACAAAAAAACTTACGTGAATACTTTGCGAGTTTTAGGGATTTTATTTTGGTATTTTCGAAATGCATTCAACACGTCTTCACGTATAAATTTGGATGAATCCTATTGAAATGATAATATGCCTACTAAATATATTGTATGCACACAAATGATAACATTAAAGTTTACCTTGTTATCACTCGCTAGTGGCAATTTACTTTCTTCCTCGAGAGTATTTTCGTCGATTTTTCCCATAATTGCATCTTCATTTGAATCATTGAAAAGAAATGCTAATCCATCATAACCTAGTGTATTGGCTAACTCTTCACCATCACTATTGTTATCAGTGGTGATGCTTTCAGCTTTTTTCCGGGCTTGCTTCTTTTTTGCCATTTCATTTCCATCACTTTCAGTCGAAGAATCATAATCACTTGAACCAAAATTCTGCCTCTTCCCTAAGACACTTTCAGAATTCGGCTTAATATTTTCGATACCCTTAATCGCTCCGTTGTATTTGAGCTGATAAATCATGTCACTTTATATAATATAAACGCGTGAAACCGAAAAATAACAACTTTAGTTCTGTACCACTGTGTTATTCACGTTCTTGATGGTGGAATTGACACTTGATATGGAATTTTTGAAGACTTCAATGGTATCTTGTATAATTGAGTTCGAGACCTCAAACTATAGTTGAAAAAGTCATGAACAAGAGTTTGTTTATAACAGAAAATTTGTTAAATGAAAACTTCTCTCAACTTGGTTCCAGAACGTATCAACATCTTTAAAGTATTTACGATGTCCCTATAACTCATAGAATTATTTATAATGAAAGATAATGAAATATAAAATATTAATAAATGACACGTATTTTAAGCGCTTTAGATCATTTTAGAATACGTGAGGAAAGCATTGCTAAAGACAACCACAACGGTCACGCAGACCACCATAAGGAAAGCAATGCTGAAGAAAACCACAACGGTCACGCAGATCACCGTATGGCTGACAACACGCAGAGCCTCCCGTAGTTGAGTGGGTTCCTTCCTGCAATAAAGATCATTATAACCCAACATGCAGTACTATTGACAAGACAGTAAATGGCCATCGCGCAGTATAGCCATTAAAGTTTGTTCAGCCTCCCTATGTCGACTAGCAATGCAAAAACAACAATAGAATACTTAACCCTACGAATTTCTTCCAATCGACTGGCACCTTTCCTTTTTTCATCTGAGCCATCCTTTATTAGATTCTCGAGATCTTTTTTTAGTTTGTGCGTCTCCTTCTTAAAAGAGGAAGTAAAATCTGTTTGTTTCGATCGGTATTTATAATATCCAAAGAAGCTATAATCTTCTGGTAGTGTTATATTAAAGTAGGCACTCCATGACGTTGATTTTTCATCGGTAGTAGACATGATTACAGCTTGAGTAATGAAATATTGAAAATCGCGAAAAATAAGATATTATATAATGTGGATCATGTGACTACCAGTCAATAAACAAATATAAATCAGCGGATCAACACTTGAAATATATTGTATATATTTTTGTAATACATACAGTATATAAATATAGTCACGTGATTTCCTGATTAAATGTGTAACGTGGAATTGCAGGAAAAAAAAAACTATAAATTGAGTCCTTTCATTAAACTTATGCGCATGTAAAAAATGATCATCGTATTCCTTATAGATGTTTGTTCTTCAAAGACTGTAAACGGGTATAGTCTGTTGGACCTCGCTAAGTTGTTTATTCGTAGTTTTTTGCATGTAATTTTTTTTTTCTTTGTAATGTTTTTCGAATTTTTTTTTCTATTTGTTTCAATTGTTCATTATTGTATTCTAGCAAGTGAACAACGGCAAGAACAATCATAGTGTGAAATATATTTTGGCGACCTCGGATCGTCCACGTTACTGCATCAAGGTGACTTTCATAGAGATAATTTATTTGAAATGTTTGAATAAAGCACTTATTTCTTTTTCCCATAGACCGAATACCATGATCCTATATACACTTTCTTGGAGCAACTTGAGTTGCTATCACCAACCGACGCTTCGAGGATCGGAACAGGATTCGCGTCAGTTTTTGAATTTTTGAGTTTGCGCCGAATGATAAGACATATGGATTCGTTCTACAGGGTATAGATGCTTAATTATTGATGCATATGATAGTTAGCAGAATTATATGCTTTTTGTACAGCAACTCGATGTGTTAACAAAAGTCATTTGTAGGGTCGATATGTCGAACACAACGAAACAACAGGCATATTTTGGTTCACTGATGGTTGCAATTTAGATTTCTTGAATTCTTGTCTCGAATACCAGGTAAGGCTTCCAGAGTACATTATAAACAACTGTTATTATAATCATGATTCTTAAACTTCGATAACAAATTTTAGCCTGATGATGGAATCACCTCCAGCTCGATGTTTTATCAAGAAAAGTATCGCTGGGATCAAAAATTATTCACCTTCTTTCTTTCATCACAAACTTATACGGCACCTGCTGCATTACACGAGTTGAACGCCAACATGAGAGGTGAATTAGAAAAAAATTTTCAATTATTTCTCTTTTCTGGTTTAATAAATCTTTTTTTAAATTTACCTGTCTAGGTCAACTGTATAGTTTGCAAACATCTGACGATATTCTTAAAGTAATTGGAAACATTCTTGGTACTGACAAGGATTTTTACGAGCATGCAAAAGAAATATATCCGTACAATATTTTTTCGACGTGCGGGGTGCATCTAAATTTTGTAGAGGCAAATGCCAGTATGTATTTTCCTGGTGCATGTAAACTTATTTTGTACAAACTAACATGTGTCTTTATTATCTTGTGTAGATTATGATCCCAAGTCTAATAACTGTCTTGAACAGATATATGTCGATCCGCTGAAATTCGAAGGGTTTTATCCGATACCCGAAAATTTCTGGATCGAATCAGAAGCTATTCGGCTTCAAATGGATATATCGTCTTTGGTATTTCTTCTAAAACGAAAGTTTTTCTGTTCCAACTTATTTGCTGATTTGTGTATTAAAATCACGTCAAAATTATTTTTAGATTCGACGCAAGTCAATACCTACGATTGCTTATTGGAAACATAAGGAATTTTATAAATCACACGAATTGCCATCGAACTTCCCACGAGATACGTATGTTGTGTCGGAATGTGATATGACTCGTGAGTTAAAATGTCAGAAACCCGGTACAAAATGGCCGGTTGGTATTTTTGGTTTTTTATTATTTAGTTCAGAGACTTGGAATCATTGAAGATAGTAATGCAAATCATATATAGGTTTACATTCATAGCAGTAGTAGGAATTCCGGTTATGGTGAACCATTTGGATATTTGGTAGCAAACAAAAAAAATGAATGGGACTTGGAGGTTAGTCTTGTAATACTACCGTACAATTTTCCCTCGTTATTTAAATTACTACGTAGGTATACTTTCTAATTTTCAGTTCTGAGATGATAGTTCAACAGAATAGTGATCCATTTTAATTTCACACAGATCAGGCAAAGCAGTATGTAGAACCACCTCCCTCGTGGAAGGAAAGTATGGAAATTTATAGAAAAAATTTGCCTTGGTATTATCTTCAGGTAGAAAGAACATTTATTTGCTTCTATGTTTTCAATTCATCTTTTATCAGAATCTAACCTACATTATTTATAAAAGCCATTGGCAAAAGTGTTTATGGCATACAAACTTGATAAAATTGTACCTAGTGGCTTTTTTACAAAGCCCAAAACAGAAGGAATCGATGCAATTATATATCAGGCTGTACAGCAAGCACATGCAAAATATGAGCAGATGAAGAATGATATTATGAAAAATCGTTATGTAAGTTTGCCTGTGTCTCTATCTCTTCTTTAAGACAGGTCAATGATTAACTTCTTGCATGTCTAGTCCATAACAAGGCCTACTCCTTATCCCGAAAAGGTTTGTACACATATTCAGTTCATTCTTTATTGCTATGTGATATTATCTAGATATAGATATTAACGACAACGGTAATGATTTGTAGTGCATAGAAGGTAATGCACAAGCAGAAAGGGCTCTTTCGAATATTCGCAAAATCACAATGCTCGCACAATTACCGAATGAAGCAGGTTATTTGATTGAAAATATCTGCCAGTTTTCTTTGTTGTACTAGTTACCAATAATCATTTTTCTAGATCCTTCTCATTCAGTAAACACGGTGATCATGGGAAATTACGAAGAGGTCATGGCCAAGAGAGACAAACATAAGTTGAGGGATCCACACGAAGAAAATGTCGGGAAGAAGACTAAGCGCGATCAACG